TGCTGCATGTGCCTAACAGCTAGCAACTTAAGGGATACGGCAATAATGGTATCTCGTTTATACCTTCTCGTACCATATTATTGATTTCCAATGTGACTTTTACTTCTAGTAAATAGTTTTCCATATCCTTTTACGTAAACCAGATCTTTAGCGCGGTGTATTGAGAACGGTGTGGGCGTGAAGGGGAGACTGGGTATTTTGGTGTCTTGAAACGGACAGGAGAAGCGTTTGGATTTTTTTGAGATGAAGACTGGAAGCTTTATCTTCTCCAGTCGGTGTCCACTGGAAGAGACGCTTGTGCTCGCTGCCCTGTTGGTTCTTGGAAGCTTCAGGTCATCCCAGTGGCCATCTCTTGTGATTTTCAGGAAATTTATTGATGATCAGTGTAGCAGAAACTTTAATAGAGAAGAATAGCCATCTATCATTGCTGATACTTTTGGGGGCATTGTTTATATATTAATAAAATCCCAACTCTGTTTGCTAAAGACCTTCCAAAGTAGAAGTTCATATCTGAAGCCTCTTTCTGCAACTAACAGTGGTAAGAAAGGTGTTGAAAAGAAAGCGTACTGAGGAGGTCCCAGATTTTGACGTGACTTCAGTGATGATTGGATTGTTTGATATTTCTGCGGTAATATAGTATTTGTGTGGCCAAGAGCTTGTTTTTAAATGTTATATTTAGCTTGATACTATTACAGACAGGTTTTTTTCCCAGTGCTACTAGTTAGGGTTTAAGAAAGAGTTGTATACTTTGACTTTAGTTGTAACTCTTCCCATTAAAACTAATTTAACCAAGAAAAGTGAAGTAACATTTTAAATCTCTTCTGTAATAATCTTTTGCAATAATTTCCACTGCAAAGTCATAATATCAGGATCATTCTTAGAAATGGTTAAGAGTTCACATACCTATTTGTATTTGAAAAGGACGTAGACCACTTAAGGCAATGCGAGCTTTCAGGATAGTATAAAATGTTTATGGTCTGTGTTATAAGTTCATATAGCATTTGTTTTTTGAAGTTTAGTAAGATTTTGGAATCTCACCAAGTTTGAAATGAGGTATTTTAGTTTGACTTTGTATATCTGCTTAAAGTAAAATGTATTCTTTAGCAATTCTTTTTTCTCAGAAAAAAAAAATTTTTCTTGAATTGATTTTGTCAAAAATAAACAAAGGCAGAACTTCCACAAACATGTTTTGAAGCAGCCTGTATGCTTCAGATCATAAGCCAACCGTCATAAATGAATTTGTTTTTTAGTCAGCCACAGAATATTTTGTTCTGTTAGGAACGTGGCTTCCAGGTGTAGCATACGCGTTTCAGTGCAGTAGATGCACTGCTTGGGAGGGATGGTTTGTGTTAAACAAACTTCCTACCCCTCTCTCCAGCCCCTCGACGGAGCGAGGGGGCAAAAAGTGAGAAGGAATTGAAAGTAGCGTATATACAATTTACAGTCCTGGAAAACTGCATGGATTGTCTCTTGAAACTATCTGCTATTGTCAGGAACAAACTAGATCACAAATCTGATAGCTTCAGATGGCCTGAGGCGCGGACGCTTAACTTGGATCTTCCTTTTTTTAAGGAAGAGCGAGGAGTGCATCTGCTCAACTGGAAAATGCGGTGCTTGGTGGGCAGGTATCGCGCGAGCCGAGTCCTCGGCTAGACGCGGCTGTGGGTTCACCTCCTGCTCTCCAGCAGCGTCGGCTGCTTCGGCGCGTGCCCTGGGCTCTTCGTAAAGGATGCAGTTTTCAGCTGTGAAGCCCCAGGTTATAGCGCAGTTGTGTCCAATCTGGGATGTATCGGTGCTGCTAGTACATAGCTTCATAATTACATGAAAATGAATGCAGAATTAGGGAAATAGTCAAAATTCCCTTGTGTGCCTAACTTTGTTATTCCAAAAGGCTGCCTAGAGATATTTCTCCCTTGCTAAAGGTATAGAAGTGGTATGTCATCCATAGACACTGCAGGTGTAACTTTGAAGTGTGGATTTTGTTTTGAGAGCTTTGTTGTAATTTCAGGATTTGTTTTGATCTGTCAACTTGGTGTGGCATTAAAAATGAGCAATAATTTGCTCCGAACGTACTGAAGTAAAGTTCTAAACTTGAAAGTGGATTGCATTTAATATTGTTTTGAAATAGTCTACTGACTGTCAGAAAAAAAGATTCTGTGGGTTTATTACTGACAGTTACTTTAATTTTAAAAGGATGTTATTGATGTCGGTTGCACGCAAGGAAAAAGCTTGTTTCTTTATTGGAGCAGGTGCCTCTTCAGTGGTCAGGTAGGGAAGAAAAACCTGTGCCTGTGTATTTAAAACAACAGCAAGTGGAACAGTCGTCTCTACCAAGGGAAGAGCCTAATGCACTGTTGTTCTTGACTGTTAGCTAGTATATATTCTCAGTTAATTTGTTAGAGGGGAAGGTGCCTTTGATCATACTGGATCGTTTGGACTGTCAGGGTATCTTATAAAAGAAATACATGGCTTTTTTGGTCAAAACAAAATTTGGTGGCATATCTTGCATCTAAACATAAGAAAAAGAACAAGGTAACAAGAATAGGCTGTAAAAATAGCACTTGATAAATTTTGCTGAGTTGTGGCATTATATAGGTAAAGAATTCAGCAAGGAAGAAAGCTTTCTTAATGGTAGGGTCCTCTGTGTGTGTGTGTGGATATATATATATATACACACATATATACAATATATAAAGCATTTTTTTTTCTTTGGGTACCATATAAAGTGCACTAAAACATTTTTGAATTTTTCAAATAAATAAAGGAGAAGAAGATGACATGCAACCAAGTCAAATTTCATGAAGCAAAACGTTTTATACTTCCTGTGCTGAGTAGCAGGTGACAGTTTGCCAGCTGGTGTGCCAAGTACAAAACCAGCTGGAACTCCCTGGGTGAAGGGTAGGGTCCTTCAAGTGGAAGAAGGAAATGTTTTAGAAAGATGCACTCTTGCTTGATTTGTGAGACTGTTAAAAACATGATCCTGATATGTGGAGGAGGAAGCTTGAGGTACGTCGGTGATTTTGATTTTAGTTCTCGAGCTCAGAAGGAAACTCGGGAGTTTTGACACTTCTGTTAATACTTGATGAGACATAATCCCCCAAGAAAGGACTATGCTGTGCTCCATGTAATATTTCTAAACAGAAGCAAGGCATAGAAACCCTTAATGATAGGCAGATCTAATTTCTACTTGTGTTGGAGCCTAAAATCTGAGGCTGCTGTATCATTCTTTTCCTCATAAGTGGGTGATTTCACTTTCTGCGCTCTTCAATTCCCATAAAGAATGATTTGACTCTCTAATATATTTTATTGCTGTTGAGGGGTTGTTACACTGACAGAAACTCATTAGTTGCAGCTTGTTTTCTGTTAAGTGCATGGTTGAAGTCCTCTTATTACCACTTGGCACCTTCCCTCATTTGCTTCCCATTTGGAAAGTGTTAGATGCAACATCCACAGTTGCACTTGTTAGACGAAGTACTTTCAGTAGGCTGATTGAATGTCTGTGTTCTTGAAATAGTGCTACTCCTGGGGAGAAGGTACTCTTCTAGACTTTAGTCTTTCGAGCACAAAGCTAGAACCGTGCGCTGAGACTTAGTTGTCTATATTATGCTCGCTATCCTGGTAGCTGACACTGAAGAAATGCGGCTTTTGTCGTCAGACTGTCTATATAATCCTGCTTCTCCTTCAGCACGTCCTCCACATCTGCCCCTCTTCGCTGCCTCAAGCATCTGAATGTCGCTCGGTGGCACTGGAACGCGTCGAGTCCTTAGTCGTCCTTTGCTATGACTTCTGAAGTTTATAATAACTATTTTTTCAGAGAGGAAGGCCTAATTGATTTGGTTTTTCTTTTGTGGTGTTGGGTCATGGGAAAATAAATAATACAGTGCTGTGGCAATCCGGCTGGGGTATTTGCTGCGGGCAGGATGTGTATCGCAGTGGAGTTTTTATATTGCACTGTGTAAGCGTGAATTGTAAAGGGCAAAAGATAGCCTGCGCCAAGGAGACGAGCCTCCCTCCTGAGCCCGTCAGGAGCAGGAGCGGGTACAGGGCAGGAGAAACGTGAGGGTGCTGGGGACAGTGCAGTCGGCCGACAGCTGAGAACGTGAAGTCTGCTACCTGAAGGTGCTGAAGTAGGGAGGTGCGTTGGTATGGCTAATCTTTGTGCGTTAGGAAGTTGTCCTAGACCTTTTTGGGGGTTGTGGAAGAAGGTGAGCTCGAGTGCGCAGACACAAAAAAGGCAAAAGAAAAAGGGGGCATGTAAGAGAATGAAAGTTTGACATGAATTCAGAGAGTAGCGTAAGAGCAAATAAGCATTTTGAGAGCAAAGCAGTTGAGGAGGAGGAGCTTTTCCTTAACCATATGTAACTCATGGTAGTATAGGCATTTTAATATTTGTTTTGAATTCAAGGAATATCTTCTGTGCAGATCTGATGTTGGGTTATGGATAGCATACTTAAATAGTCTGCGTTATTCCATCATCCAAAAGGAAACGTGAATAAAACTATCAGCAAATTATTCCACTTACTGCTGTTCAGCATATAAAAATGAAGTAGCATTTTCTTTCCTTTTGAGGAGAGCAGAAATGTCCAGACAACCTGGTGGTAAGTCAAACATCCAGACAAAATGATCTGGTTTATGACGTTTTTACTCCTTCAGACAAGGAAGTGAATAGTAGACCTTAATGCAAAGCTCAGCACTCAAGCAACGCTTCTCTTCCCACATACTCTTCTTCTAGCAATACTTGGAAAATTAAACCCAAGTACATAGTTCTTGGGACTCAGTGCTTTGATATTGGTTTTCTCTATATATTTTAATGTAAGTTATAGTTAAGGGGCTGATGTTATGAAAGCGGGGGACCTGAGGGCACTGGTTTGCCTGGCCATACTGCAGTTACGCATGCGCTTTACTGTAACGTTACGCAAGCCTCTGTGGCACGTCTTTGATCTTGATCTTGCAAAATATTACTTGTTCCACAGAACTGAAAACTTTCTTTTTCCTCTCATTACAGCAGAGTGGCCGAAGACCATGACAGGCCTCCCAAGCACATCGGGAACTACTGCCAGCGTGGTAATTATCCGTGGGTCAAAGATGTACGTGGCGCACGTTGGCGATTCAGGAGTGGTGCTGGGAGTCCAGGATGACCCCAAGGATGACTTTGTGAGAGCTGTGGAGGTGACGCAGGACCACAAGCCTGAACTTCCCAAAGAAAGGGAGAGAATTGAAGGCCTTGGCGGCAGGTAACTGTCTCTCTGCTTTTCACTTCAGGTTTGATTTCTGGGTGCCATCTATGTCTTTCTGGTTGAACTAGGCTTAAGCTTGCTTATTTAGGTGGGCAAGCAATTTAGTGAATCTCATAGTCCATTTATATTCCTTCCCTGTCTATACTTTGATTTATTTATTTATTCCCTCCTTCCCCCCTCCCCCCCCAGCTTGTTGGGTAATAAATTACACTGTTCCAGTGTTAGACCGTCGTGCTTTTTTTTCTAATGGCTAATGGGATAAACAGAGCTTTAGTTTCCTGATGGATTCTCGTGAAGCTGAGATGTGGTTACAACTCTAAAAGGTCACTGAAAACTTTGCAAGTGAAGATACTGATCAGATCTATTTTTCATTGAATTCTAGGAAAACTGAAAAGAAATTTTATTTTGCTTTTCCATATAGCTATCATTATGAGCTGTGGAGTATTGGGTTTGTCGCATGGTGGAAATACAGCAGTTTGAACAGAAAATTAATACTGGTTTGGTTTTAGACCCTAGTCTCAGTGTGGGCGACGGATGGGCTCTGAGCTAGTGCATCAGTTCTGTATCTAGTTACAAAGATTCCATCTACTCTGTAAAACATCTTTTCTCGTTCATCCAGAGGTGACACTGGCAGCTATGGCGTAGGCTCTTCAAAGCTTCTGTTGAAGGAACGTGAAGATCTTAGATTAGTAATAAGACATGGATTTTGCTGTGTTTAAATATGTGCTTAAAATGTTAAAATACCGTATTTCAACTTACATCTTAACATTAGTACTTTCTTTAGTGTCAGAAGCTGGCAGATGTTAGGGCATCTCCGAGCTGCGGTTGATGCGTGTTCCCTGGGAGCGAGGAGGAAGGCAGGCAGCCCTGTCAGATGGCACTAATGCTTTGAGACAAACCTCAGGGCTCAGATTTGGCATAGCTTCACAGGAGCTCTCTGTGCTTTCGGTCTGCAATGCCGCACCAGATGGATAGGCACAGTTTCCTTCTCTCAGCAGCTCAGAAGCAGAGATCGCTGAAGGTTTTCCTGTTGACATCATTCGTACGAGAGCCCTGTCATTAACCTTCAGATACCTGTCTCTCTAGCAGGTGGAAGCTGATTAGTTAGCTGTGTTTGGGATGGTAGGTTTGCAGAGAGGGTAACTTGCAGTTTTGCTAGTACATGTGAATATATGGGTTTCCAAATCCTGTATTTCAGCTGGTGACTGGAAGTCCCTGAAGCTTCAAAGAAGCATCCCGTAGCAGTTAAAAAATATTTTCAAAATAGGTATTTCTACTGGTGTTCCTGCTTTTCCCAGGCAGGCTGATAAAACTGGTGCAGGCTATTGTGGGGCAAATGGTAGGAGTGAGGTGGAACTGTGCAGCTATGCTAATCCATGTCTTTTTTTCCTGAGAGCAAATTGAGAAAAGTTAATGGGAGAACATAACCGAACCTTTCTTTAAAAACAATATTTTCCTAGTAACAGTCTATTGTGTGGAATGAGGCCTTCTTTCAGATAAAGAACAAAGTTAACTTGGTGTGGTCATTAGTTATACACGTGGATGAGATGGGTTTGGGGATATGGTGTTTGTGTCGCTGCCGCGCTGTGCATGCGAGAGGATGGAGCTGAGCATACATACCCTTGTTGTTAAGGCCTTTGAAGTCTCAGGAAGTGCATCTTGAATAGCTTCAGTATGGAGAATCTTGAGGCCGTTCCAGAGCTTCTCGGTTTCTAATTACCCATGGCTATTCCTTGGATAAAAGCTAGCTTTTAAGCGTCTAGTTCTGATGACTGTTGGGCCCAAGCTTTGCTAGTTTCTTACTGCATTAGATCTTCTTGTTAAATGGCTCAAACTCTCCCTTTTCCCCTCCTCTCTGCCTGCTCCACAATAATAGCTGATTCACTTGCTCTGTAGCTTCTCTTTTGACCCTTCCAGTGCCATCTGTGAGAACTAAAACTGTTGCTCAGTGCCTTAGAGCAGGTGTTAACATTGAAATGCAGAGCTGGTTCTTCCTCTATCTCCTGCTTTCAGCAGATAACAACTGTGAACAATTCCTCTTTATTCCTGCCTCACGCTGGTGCCCCAGTAAGGAAATCCCTACCAAAGGCTGCGTCTCTCTTATTTTTGAAACTGTACCGTGCTTCTCTTTACTGCCAAACTCTGGCAGATGGAGAACATTGAAGGAGGAACGTACATGATATTTCTGTCCCTGAATGAGCTGATGTTGATGGTCCTCATCTGAGGAAAGCAAATTCGGTTTTGCTTTTTCTCTGACAGATGAAAAAGATATTCTTACATCTGGTTGTCAGCAGCCAGCCAGAATATCTTACAGCTTTTCATTCCTCTGCTTCTCCCTCCGGCTCTTCTCTCACTTCTTTTGGCTTAATCTGGACTGAAGCTATCCAAGTGATACTATGTGTTTTGAAGTACTTAATTATGCTGTGGACTGTACTGAGAGTGCTGTCGTTATTGACTCCATATTTGCATAGCTGTGTCATTGGAATTAACTTCCGTGATTTCACTGCCATTTGTTTTTAACCCCTGTCCCTTTTTAATGGTTCCAGTGTGATCAACAAGTCTGGCGTGAATCGGGTTGTTTGGAAGAGGCCTCGTCTGACCCACAACGGCCCCGTGCGCCGGAGCACTGTTATCGACCAGATCCCGTTCCTGGCAGTTGCGAGAGCGCTTGGTAAGTGAGGGCCACGTTTGGAAAGTGAGACATCCCAACATACAGGCCACCAGAAACATACTATACTCTGTTTTGCTAAAATGCTAAAGTTAGAGGGTTTTGGTCACTTGCCTTGATTATAAGGCCTTCTAAAAGTTTGGGCCTTTATAAAGTATTTTTAATGCAATAGGGATTATTTTCATTTTTCACATAAGGCTGTAGAGGGTGTAATCAGTGAGTGAAAGACCAGCTCTATAATATGCAGTCTTACAAGGCTTTAAAATCAGTCTTACAAGGATGGTACTTCTGCTTCGATGCGAATGAAAACTGTGCAAAGCAGTATGTGCCCCAGGACTCTGACTAGGTGATAGAATTAAGTTTTACTGTGTTGTATATGAATTGCTTTTGTCTTTTCATGGTGAATCTGTTTCCTTTCAAGTTTTAAAGTAGAAGTAACAAAAGGATGAAGGCCAGGTCTGTGTGTTTTATCTGTAACTTGCCTTTGCAAAAGTACTGGTAATCAGAAATGTTTTTGAGGAATGCTTTCAGAAGAGAGAAGGGCATATTACAGTATCTAGTAAGTTGTGTTGTGAATGATTTTATGGGAAGTACGTTGTGACTTGATTTTTAGCTACCATGTGTGTTAATGTTTTCTGATTAGTTGCTTCCCTTGAACTTCAATGCAGAAGTCCAACCTTGTGCAGTTTTTTTTCCCCCCTTTCTCCCTCTCTCTGCCCCAGTGAAGAATTCTCTAACCAGCTATAACCAACAGAGGTTTGGACTTGATCTTATGGAAATGCGATATCATATTTTTTACCTGTGAGCACTGTCTTGTGACTTAATGTCTCCTTGGCGAGCTAGGCAGTTATGTGATAGTGTTGTCGGTGTTGCTAGATCAGCTGGCAGTATGTCATGGGCACAGTCTGTTCCTGGGCCTGTGGTCTTCTGGTGATAATTGCATAGCACTACTGTGTCTTATTTTGAAGGCAGTGATATCTGTGTTTCGCATGAGTTTGTCCAATGTTAAGAGGAACTGTGCAGCGATAACTAACGTTTTGAGAGAGCTGTGCGTCAAGGAAGGGGACCCACGCTTGAATGGTGATCTCTTCGTAAGAATATATATCTCTTAATTTTACGGACACTTTTCTCGACATCTCACAGATCTTCATCATATTTCATATTTTTAGGTGAGATGTATGCTTGCTTTATAGTTGGTGAAACTGACTCGAGAGTTTGAGTAAGCTCTTAAGAGTCTCGCATTAATAGGTGACTTGCAAATGGAAGTTCCTGAACCTGGATTAAGTCTTCTCCTTTACCCACTGAGAAGCATATTCATCTGCTCTTTTCCGCAAAAGAGTGTATGTTCCTCATAGATTATAAAAAGTACAAGTTGAATTTGGATAAATTTTTAATTCCTATGATTCTGAGTTTGTTGTTTGTCTAATAGCTTGATGTCTTTTGGTCTGATTCCTCTTAGCAAGTTAAACACAAGGATTTGGCTGGGTTTTGTGTACAGATGGCGATTCAAGGAAGCGTGCATCTATTAGCCCCCCCATTGCATTCTTTCCACCTACGTGGATGAAGGGGGATTACTAGAGAGTTACAGGTCCAAGAAATGAGAACACCTATCTTTTCAGCGATTCTCATATTCAAAAATTAGCATAATTGAGTTCTTAAAAGAGGTCATTGGCATCTTCAGAGCATGTAGGAGAAACAGGTTTTACAATGTGACAGTATTTTGGTGTTTGCCTGCTCAAGGAGTCTCCGTAGCCTCTTCATATCCCTTTCTGATGAGGTATGATGAACCTCCCGGAAAAGGGAACAGAGCTGCCTCTCTCTGTAGGACCCAGATGGTGCACAGACGCTCACAGTTTGGAAACAGGATTTAACTTCTTCCTGAGGCCAGCATGCCCCTTACATTGCTCACAAAAGACCTACCACAACTAAAACCATTTGCATTTGTGCTATTGAGGCCTGCTCGACCTCTTGGCTGGCTCCCAGCTTGCTACCCTGGTTGGCACCACCACACTGCTGTGTTGGAGCCTCTCCAAGCAGATAGTAACTGTCAAAGTTGACATACAGTGGTTACCAATGCTTTAGTCAGTCCCACTAAGATCTAGCACAGTCGTACCTTTTGCTGGGTCCAAATTTGGTTGTTACTCTTGACAGAAATCCTGTACTGCAAAATACAGATTGCAAATTGATTGTTTGGACCAGAATTTTTAGTATGGGCACAAGAGTCTCCTGATGCTCTGTCTTGCAACTAAGAGAAAAACCTAGAGTTGTGAATTTCCTATCTTTATTTTGAAGTGGGTAGGTGATCTGCTGAAACACTGAAATTTAGAGCATAGGTGTTTAACCCGAAGTGTGTATCTTTTTCTCACATGACACTTTGCAGTGTGGTGATGTATTCGCATCCAGCTATCATCATCTGTGATAATTTATTACTCTCCTTAGTTCCTGACATCGAGGTGAGAGAATGATTTTGGTGGACCTGTTAACGTTCTCTAGTTTATTGATCCCTCTAGCTCTTGATTCTAGCGCTCCTTGTAAGGAGCGCAGAAGACTGGGAAGCATTGAGTCGGTCAAACTCCTGGAAAGTAAAAGTGGCACTGGTGCGTTGAAGTCCTCCTAGCCAGATTAATGCTACTGACATTCCCTTTACTGTTTTGGTTATCTGTAGTGTCTTACTGCCCTAAAATAAGCATTTGCCTTGGGTACTTCTTAGTGTCATTGCTTTACCTAAATGCAGTCACTACTGTAGTGCAATGTATAGAGTAATTTATTTATAGCCCCTAAACAAGTCAGGCATGTTTAAGTTTCATATTGCCTCTATAAAGTATCTTGTATGCTGCTTTTATTGCATACAGGTTTTACATCTTCTAATGAAAAGTGTTAAACTGCAGCACGGCGTTCTGCACTTTAAGCATAGCTACTTGTACTCTGCCTCTTCTGGGAAATAAAAATGTTTTTATTTATACCAATTTACTTTGTAATAGCTGCTTACAAATCCCATGCAGTCTCAGAGAATTGTTCGCCTCAGGACTTGTCCATCACACTAATCAGAAGAGATTTTTGTTTCCCAAGAGCGTAAGCAGCCGAGCGAGCGACCTGGCATCCCTGGTTCCATGGTAACTGTTCGTTTTGGGCCCTTCCCTATGGCAAGCGTGAGGTAACTCAAGGGCTGCGAGTGTGCGAATTGCTGGGTGCTGCAAAGCAGTAGATACTTGTGGGTAACAAACCGCCATGTAATTTGCTTGTGTATTTTAAAGGGCCTGTGTGCATCATTGCATGGTGTATTAGTTATTGTCTCCCTGCTATAGATTTACAAGCTGGATTTTCCAGGGAGGCATCCAGGAGGGCGTTTCAGGGACACCAGTGAGCATGTTTACAGATGCGTGTTTTGGGAAAACAGCTCCAAGAGAGGAATAGCTTGCACTCTGTGTGTATAACATAATAAGCAGATAAACCCTAGCAGACAGGTTACACTTCAGCTATGCTGTCGATCAAAATACATAATTTAGGCCTCCTGCCTCTGAGACAAAATGCAGTATGAGAACCACAAGACTATGACTGTACAAGAAGATGACTCTCTTGTTCCCTGTACTGAACTCATCATGGAAAAATGAAGCAAAGAGTTTTGATCTTTAGAAAGCAATTTTGAAGTAAAATCTGGTGTGTGGAACTTTCAAAGATGGTATACAGAGTGGGAAAAATGTGGAAAAGCTACAGTGCGAGCTCTGAATGTCTTAGGGTATGACTTGAAACAACAACTGAATATAGAAACTAGTAGAAAGACAAATGCTGTGATTAATCTACTGAGCTTTGTAGGTTGACTATAAGCATAACTTTAATTCTTTGCAGATTTCTTAAGTTGCTATTTAAGTTCATATCCAGCTGTCCCCCAACCTGATCAAGTTGACTGGTAACATATGGTGTGATGGCAGAAATGGGTCTTGAGATTGTTTTATGAACCATGTGGGATGTCTCTTGTTGGTAAATTAGTTCAGGTCTAAATCTGGTAAATCTTCAATAGACTTTTTTTCTCCCCCCTCCCTTTTTTATGGAGGGGGACTAGTATAGAGCCAAGATCTGCAGCTGTCAGTAGGGTTATGGAGTCAGGGAATGCCTTACACTGTTGTAGCTAAGTCTTTTTTTAATTCATGAGTGATGAAACCTGAACCAAGAACCCATTAGTCAAAACACTCATTCATGTGGCCACATAAAGTATCTCTTCCCTGTTTTTTGTGTACATACATGGCAGACCCACCCCGGTATTTTTGCTGGAGCGGCCTCACGATTTAGGTTTGTCTTTTCATGAGAACGTTAACTTTCCTTAGGGGTCAGTAGGAAATTTATGTACCAGAACAGTGAACGCTTAATGTATAGCTGCTACAAGAATGTTGGCTCTGACAGTGATGTGGAGGCTGTTTTGGAGAGTAACCTACTGGATGCCAGAATTGTTTTGTGAACCTCTCGGAAAGTGCATACCATGAAACCCTAGGGAGGAGGGTATGGCTGACCTCAAATGATCTAAGTAGATTCTTGTGTAAGGGTTTAGATTTTATATGCATTTAACTGTGGCGGGGGGCGGGGAACAGCTGCAGTCTAGAATGGGCACGACTGCTAGACAGTGTTTGCTTTTTAGGTCTTGTTTCCTACTTGTCTGTAGAAATCCACCACGAGGAACGATCCTATTGAACTGCAGAAGCTGTACGTTGGATGTTGCACAGCACTTTCTGTTTTTGATGTCACTTTTAAAAGCTTTATAAACATAGTTCTGTGCGTGTATGCATAAATCTATATGTATACATAGATGCACGTTATGTAATATGTATTACATTATATATATAAAAATACATTAACATTTTAGATTTTAGGTTTCTTCATAGCGGACAATCTTGAAGTGCGTTTGGGAGTCTGCTCTTGTCCTAGGGATGTCTAACTGTAGCTTGTAATATCTTCCCCCCCCCCCCCCACAAAAACAAAAAAAAACGTGTTATGAACAGAGGAACTGTGCA